CCCCCCCCCCCCCACCTGTGCGGGAAAGGGGAATGTGCTGATTCGTTTTCTTTCTTGTTTTGTATTTCTCTCAAACGATTATTTTTTTGTTTTTCTCTTTTTTTTTTTTTATTAAAGCCCATCGACTGATGTGACAACTCGTGCACAACTCGTGCATACTATCACGCATCTGATGCTGTCATGTAGGCAATAGAATTAAGCTGCTGGGTAGCTCTACCTGCCAAGTTCTCTCTTTGTAGGAGGGCCCTGCAGCTACCTGTCATTACAATCCCATGTCTGCTCAAACAAACAATTACAATGTTGTGGGACACTGGACCCCGTTCCCAGCAGGTGATGCTCCCCAGTGTCCCCACCAATAGATGGAGCCTTCCCGGAAGTGCTAGCGGTGCCTGCCTATCAGCACCCTTAGCATCAGCCCGGGCTGTTCTTTCAACGTCTTTGCAAAAACAAAAATTTTTTTTTTTTTGTTTTTGAGAACTTATGGTCAATACTCACCCTCCCCCCAAACGGGCTACAGGTGAGTATCCTTTGTCTCCTCTCACTGCTGGTAACCCCATCTGCGGTCTGGCTGTTGGGGAGAGGAATGTTGGTGGAAATGAAATGCTCCAGATACAGGTGGCCCTCCGAATCAACAAAGCATTTGTGGTGGGAGTGCCCTGCTTGAAACGCAGAGCTGCAGATTGTTTCAACAGAGTCGAACAGACTGTTTCGGTTTTCATGTACTGTCAGCGGTTCACATACTCGATCAGTAAATCTGTTGCAACCCTGCTCCTGTAAAAATGGATCTCACTGCACTACTCTCCACTCTCCAGAAATTTGGATAGCAGGCCGAGAGTTGTCTGACTCTTCGAAATAGGGTTTTTCCCATCACCGCTACACTTACTCTCCAATTCCTAGGTCCACTAGCAGACATGGTAACAGCAGAAGAAGACACGGGGTCATAACCATTTTGTCCGCCCGGACTCTAGGCACACTCTCCAAATTTGGGGTCCTACGGTGAGTTGCTAAAAGGTCTATCCGTATAATGAATCTTGCCGGCTGGGCACTCTCTGGCCGTTGAGAGTGTTTTTCTATGGTGATTTCTGACAGGTATGCGAGGGTTCTTGGGTGGTGGAATCGGATAGTTAGTGCAGCCATGAAAAACTTTCTGAAATAGGAGAGTGGAGAGTACTGCAGCGAGAGCCAATGGGTCTCGCTGCACTACTCTCCACTCTCTGAATTCGGAGAGTTTTACATCGCTGCACCTACTATCCTATTCCACCATCCAAAAACCCATGGATAGTTGTCACAAACCTCCGTTGAAAAGCACTCTCCGCTGGTGGAGAGTGCCCAGCCTGCAAAGCTGTTTTCTTTAATGGACCTCCACAGGACTCTCCAAAATGCTCCCAACTTGGAGAGTGTGCCTCGAGTCTGGGCGGACAAATGCAAATCCCAATGTGTCCTCTAGCACTGTCCCGGTGTCTGCTAGTGAACTCACGACCTGGAGTCTCGGAGAGCGGATAGTTAGTGCAGCGGTGAACCCAAAATCATGAAGTAGGAGAGCTTTTCAGCTCTCCACCAACTCTCTGATTTTTCGGAGAGTGGAGAGTAGTGCAGCGAGACCCAATATAAGGGTCTCGCTCCACTACTATACACTCTCCGAATTTGGAGAGTTCGGCGTCGCTCCACTTACTCTCCACTGTATACGTGTGGAATCGCTCAGATAGTTGTCAGGTATCGGTCCTAGATTGCAATCTCCATCGGTGTATAGTTCCCAGCCTGCGAAAGTCATTACTCGGATTCTCGTCGAAGGAAACCACGGACCCGTCGCGTTTTTGTATGGTGAACCTCGAGTCTAGACCCAATGTAAGGGTCTCGCTCCACTACTACACACTCTCCGAATTTGGAGAGTTCGGCGTCTCTCCACTTACTCTCCACTGTATACGTGCGGAATCGCTCAGATAGTTGTCAGATATAGGTAGTAGATTGCAATCTCCATCGGTCGTAGATTGCAATCTCCATCGGTGTATAGTTCCCAGCCTGCAAAAGTCATTACTCGGATACTCCTCGTTTTTGTATGGTGTCCACTCTTCGTTGTGCACTATCCTCTACTGTCCTCTATACAACCACATTTTGGAGCAGAATTGGAGAGCCGTATGCTGCTCCACAATGTCTGCTATACAACCACATTTTGGAGACGAATTGGAGAGTTGTATACCGGTATTACCGGATAGTAAGTGGAGCGACCCCGCAGACTCTACGGTTTTTTTTTCGCTTGACACAGCTATACACAAACGCTCCGAAAATCTGTATAGCGGATAGTAGTGGAGAGAGACCCTAAATCTTCCCTCTTCAATCTGTTGATTTCACAGGTTCAACTAGTATCAACTTCATCTGTTTCAGAAAACTAGCAGTTACCTAATCCGGGTTGGATTGTGAGGTCCCCGTCCTCGACCTGTTACATGTAACGAACTGAATCTGTTTGCCGGGCGGCCAGAAAGGGGGTAACTTCAGTAGAGTCACAAAACGGAGTTGTAATTGCACTATGGGCCAAGATAAAGTTTACAATTGCACTTGGGGCACCCTACCTGGTCAGAAAGCTGAGTTGTATACATTGCTCCAGCTGCGATTCCAAACTGTATCTTGGTCCATAGTGCATAGTGCAATTATAACTCATTTTTGTGACTCCCGCGTAGTTTCCATTCACAGGAGTTCCTCACTCCAACAGCGTTGTGTGGCAAACGGGGGAGAGGAGCTGTCGAAGGGGCGGCTGTCGAATGTCTTCTGACAGCCGTCAATTTTTTTATCCTTTCGATGGTGATGTGGCGAGCCCCTAGGTGTACATTGAGGGGGATGCCTCCAGGGCTCCAAGGACGAGCCGAAGGGCAGGAATGTTGTTTCCTTTTCATTTAGTTTCCTAAAAGGGGAAACGACCTTTAGGTATCATCATTGAACTGACGGACTGAGGGAAAAAGGGTGAAAAAAGCAAATAATAACCGACCCCAAGTAATGCAGAATTCTGCTCGCCTGATAGCATCTGGATTTAAGCTTGCGTGCGCCTTTTAACATTGCTCTGGCGTACCAACTAAGCTACCAGGCTTGTCGGTAAGGGCGGGAGTTTTTAAAACCTTTTTTGGTGAAAACACCTTTTGAAAATCGGTGAAGACCGTGTCCACAGGAACAAGTCGCAGATGTTCCTGCACGGATCGCGTGCCGTTCGGGGAAAACTGGAAAAAAGTCATCCGTACGATTTCCGCCCGATCTGTCAAAACGTCGGCGACTGTGTACGTGGTGGTCGCCGCGGCGACGACCGCCACGGTGTGAAAGGGAATGTTGCCGCGTGTCGGCTTAATTCACGGGTAGACAATTATTATTGTCTAGGTGTGTAGTTCAGCGGGGACGGAATGCGGGCAAGCAAGTGCGGTACAGACGGAAGGTATCCTAGTTGTTCGTGCGTGTGTGTGTGTGTGTGTGTGTGTGTGTGTGTGTGTGTTGTGTGTGTGTGTGTGAGAGAGAGAGAGAGAGAGAGAGAGAGAGAGACGTGCGCAACGACCGCCACTGATTGGTCATTCGATTGAAAGGACAAGCATGTCTACGGAAAGAAGGTCAGACGCCAGAAACCCTGCATGCCGTGAAGATGCAATGAGAGGATGCGACTCTCCGACCACGGACTCGGGAGAGCCAGCATGGACTCCAGCGTTTCATTGTATCATACTGCCAATTTCTTTATCGTGGCGAACTTGCTGTGGTTTTCGCTTGTTGCTGGTGGTGGTCGGTTGTGGTGTGGTAGAACGCAAGGACGCGGCCCGTGAGTTGAACTAGTCGAACTAACTTTTACTGTCGTGGAAGGATTCGCGGCTGGGTTTCCCGGTCCCCAAATGGAGGTGGAGGTTAGAGAAAGCCAGGGGAAGCAGGAAGATGTTTGGCAACGCTATAGCGTCCGGTGTCTACAGACTGCATCGGAAATGCTGCACTTCTCAAACGTGGTGAGTTGCCTAACTGATCACCTTCCTGGTTGCTGATGAGTGAGTTGCTCCGTGTGCATGTATGTGTAAACCCTTGTCTTGTGTTTGTTTGTTTGCCTACGTGCGCACGTGCGTGTGTGTGTGTGTGTGTGTGTGTGTGTGT